TAGGGCGATATCGCATCAAGCCTGGGGCAAACAATAAGGTTGATGGGGCCAAGAATCGGCCTTATCCCCGTTGTCCAGCCCGACTTAACGATCATGCTGTGGTGGAGAACCCGCCTTAGCTGTAAGTGGAGGTTCTTCCACAGCGTTTGCCGGTTGGGGAATGTTTCGGAATGCCGCTGCTCTGATTTTCGCGAAAATGGAGTTCCTAATATAGATCTGACACAGCCGGGTGTACATTCTTGGCCTCGGCTGTGGTGGCGCTGTGTCGACCTGTATTTCCCATTGCGATTGTCGGGCAAGCTTGCTACATGTTGGTGCTCTTGTGCGTCTCAATATATGCGGTTGGTAGTATGCTCGAGTCAGGAGGGGGCCAAAAACGACCCTGTTGGTGACCCTTCTGCAGGCCGCATGCGTTGGTGTGAGATTGAAGTATAGAGCGCCGATCGTGGAACATAACGGGAGAGATACGATTGTGCGCGCTCCTCTTGTGAATTTCGAACAGACATCATCTATGATGAATATCGGTTGTTTGTCATCCTTTCTCCTTTCAGCGTCGTAGCATGGACGTATTCTTGCAGGGTTAGCGAAATGGCCAAAGTCCCTAGTTTTTCTTACGCCAAGCGAGCACAAATCTCCGTGATGAACCCTTTGCTACAGTAGCGTTGACAGCGGGATTGCCGGCCCTCTGCATGAGACGATCGAGGCCTCTCTTGGACCAGGCTGTGGATGTGCATCCCGGTCACCACGCCATCCAAACCCATGTTGCCCCCGACATCCCCAGACCTCAGCTCTTCCCATCGTTGGGCTGAGCTCTTTGACACGGACATGATCCTGCAGGGGAACAGTCAAGCCCCTCAGGCTGCCCATTGCGGAGATGCAACGTCGACAGCGTATGCGTGCATGTCTGAACGCGAGTCGCTGGGAAATGATAAGCCGTGAAAGACCCGACTGAATGGGGGCCCCTCGGATTCCAAAGAGGTTTGTCAAGTCAGGTTATTGATATCACTCAAATGTTGCCCCAAATTGCCTTCACCCTGTGTGCTGGCGCCTTGGTTGCCGCCAGCGTCACAAGGCAGCCGGCCCTCGATGTCTCAGTTCGCAGCGCCCCTGGGATGACTCCAGACCAGACCGTACATGCTATCCGCCGAAGCCTTGCAAAGGCGTCTCTGGAGGAGCGTCAAGATGAACTGGGCAACTCAACGTCACTCGACAAGAGCTTCAGCAATGCCGTACTATTCAGATAGTATGTCATCTCCCTATGCTCCCCCTTTTGCTTCCATCCACAGCCAAACTGACACATCCAGCGGCGCTGAGATCAGCAACGAGGTTGGAGTTGACCTTCCCAAAGGTAATGAAGCTACGGCAGACGCTTCATTGCACGCTTCGGTTGAGGTGCTCTGTCGCACATGCTACATCAAGGGCACTGCCAACGTCGATCTGATCATCGACGGAGACTTTGACGCTGGCGCAGCGGTTCAAAGTCTTGGAGACAAGTTCGAGGTCGTCATCGACAACATGACTGACTATGTCGACACGTACATTCGCGACGTTTTTGACAAGGTGCAAGAACAAGGCGTCAGCAGTAGCGCTTTTGACCTGCCTCCGCTCGACGTGGATCTGAACCTTGACATCCAGGGGATTCCTGAGTGCCAACTGCACTTCGGCTTCGATGGCCTCGAGTTGTACATGGACACCCAGTTTAAGATGACGGCGGGCGCGACGTATTCTCTGAATCTGTACACGTCGGTGACGCCTCTCGGGTTCAAAGTCGGCGATGTGCTCGTCGGCGTGACCTTCGTTGTCGATCTCCTCCTCAGCGTCGAGTCAGAAATCTCCGTTGCGAGTGGCTTCCATCTAAAATTGGACGACGGCATCGCTATTGATATTGCCCTATTCTCAGATGAGGTCTCCGATATAGTTTTGTGAGTGCACCTCCCCTTGCGTCGGTTACCAGCATGAGCCCCTCGAACATGTACTAATATCAAGTCCCAGTAACGGCGACCAGTTTGAGTTCCTCCCGGTCACGGTTGAAAGCGATGGCGTGACCTTCAGAGCTCTCCTTCGCGTCGCTATCCACACAGGCCTCGAGCTCCACACTCCCTTCCTCCCAGATCTGTCTGCCGGAGACTTTGAGCTCCCGAGCGCAGGTGGCGGCATTGAGGTTGCCGTCTGGGCGAATCTCGCCGACCTTACGACGAGCATCATCACTAGTAGTGCAGACTCTGATGTTCGTCGACGCGATGATGATGGTCAAGATGATGACGACGAAGAGGATGAAGACTGTCGGCTTCGCGTGAGGCAGGAGTTTGTCTTCGCCTTGGGTGCCGCTGCTGGCGCGACTATCGCCATCATGGACCAGACCTGGGGGCCGGCTCCGAGCACGGAAATCCCCATCTGGTACACAACGCTGGCCGATGAATGCGTCGTGAGCCCGAAGGCGACTGTGTCTAGCACATCAAAGCTTGGCGAGCGGCAGGATGATGAGGAAGACGAAGAAGACCTCACGACGACGACTTTGACGAAGGAGACTGTCTTTACAGCACTGGAGTGCATTTCTATTGGACTCATGAACTGCCCGGCGTCGTTGCAGAGTCTGCGCGAAGTGACCGAGGTACAGACATTCGTGACGGCAGTCGCGTCAGGCGTTGAGGCCGAGTGGCCAGAGGTGACGGCGATGACGATCAACCGCGTTGTAGAATTTGGGTCGGGTGCGCTGGGACTTGAATCGACGTCTGGGTCGCCCGTGTCGTACGTCCCACCTCCACCGCCGCCCACAGAGTCACCTACTTCGGACGACGGTGACAATGACTCGGAGGGATCCGAGGGAGACAGTATTCTGAACGGTAAGGCTGGGGGAGTTGACAAGAAGGTTATCCTCGGCGTGAGCATTGGTCTCGGCGTCCCAGTTCTGCTGGCCGTTATTGCCAGCATCATGTTAGTGCATTCAGTCCTTACCCTGTCATTTTTCACACCATGGCTCACCTGTATTGCAGATTTCTTATTAGACGCCGACGAGTTGCACCGGATGCTGTGTTCCAGCCAGGCCAAAGCAGAATTCAGTATACTGCCGTCGAAACCCAACCGAAGAGCGGTGATATCCAACATGAGGTCAGGAGTGTACGGCAAGACTGAGACTCTGCTTGCAGAAGACGTGACGGAGAGATTCTTTCAAGATACCATGCTTTATGTTACACGTCAACGATGCTATAAAATCGAATCGTCATGTGCTCGGGAATATTGAGATTTGTAGCGCCACAGCAGACAGGCACCTTCAACAGCCGGCAGCGCCTCGCGTTTGATTGTGGCTTTGCCAGGCTGTTTTGTCTCGAGAGATGCTTTTGCTGCCCTCTGAAACCTGTGGCTAAACCTTCGCCATTCGTCATCCGAAGGCCAGTCTTCGTTCCGCAGGATCGTGAACTCAGGCACAGGTCGGTTTGAGTCATCCTGTGAGCCAGGTGAATAGGGGAACAGGGCGTTCTCATATGGCATCCGCAAGAAATGGTTGTTGCTGTGCAGGTCATAAGCAGGCTTGAATCGGAAGCCTTGACGTGCATCATGCGATCCCGGAGGAATACTCCTGAGCAAAAATAGTGGTGGCAGTTGTGCCTCTGCAGTAGACAAGTCCCATTCGAACTGAAACTCCTGATGGACGATGAATAGAAGCTTTTTGAGTTTTGGCAACTTGGAGAGGCGCGACAGCAGGACGCCGATGTTGGTCTCCAACACCTTTTTACCGAGAACTGGATGAGTCAACCTCGTGTTCATGCCGTAGGATGTTCCAAGGGCGAGGCACGTGAGGTTGTTCCGCACCAGGGGGACCTGGATGAGGAATTGGAGCGTGCGGAGGAGCCTTTTGACCAACAGATATGGCTCGAGGAGGATAATGTCACAACTGAGATCGACATATTTGGTAATCCCGGACAGGGTAAGGGCCCTGAAACGGCGCAAGGTAAAGGCCCTGGTTTCGAGGCAGACCGCCGCCAGTATCGGCGGGGGTTCGTAACGGACATTGGCAAATATGAGACCATCGACAGCCGGCGTCGTTTGTTTGGCTTCGGGGCCATCGAGGACCTCGTAGATGCGCTGTGCCGGAAGGGCGAACTCCCAGATGATGTGGCGAAGCTCCGGCGGCAACTTCAATATGGGAAACGTCTTGTTGAGGGGCCAGCGGTCAGAATGCGACGTAGGTTGAGGCTGCCAGCCAATGGAGGGGATAGCTAGAACGGCCATCGAGTTTGTATGTAAGACTGCAATAGAACTTGTGCATCAAGAACCCATCCAGGCATCAGAAACTCGATAGTTTTTCGACTGAAAGAGCATCGAGTATGCAATCTAGGCTGCCTGACATCAAGTTACAGTTTGGGTCTCGCGGTTCATCTGGCTGGCAAAGGACTCATCGGCACCCAGATGGCGAGGTTCAAATGGCGGCAGGGCGGCCTTGGAGCACATGCATGAATGGAGATGTCATGAGTGTCTAGCTAATGCACCACGCGCAGGACTATTGTTCTCTATGAGTGCCACGACCCAACGGAATGGGCGATGCATTGCGGGTGGAGCGCCAGGGAGAGGGGGTCATGGGTAGCCAAGCAGCAGGTGAGCTATAGCGGTCAGCAGAAGTAAAGTGCCATGTCAGCAGCTAAGAATACGGCACCTGGCGTGCGGCATGTGATATGATTAGGGGAAGGCGACTGGAGGATGGGATCCTGAAGACTAGAGACCGTTCATTTAAAGCAAACGAGGCGAGACAAGTCTAGACTTGGTAAGTGAGAGGGTGTGCTGCTGCGCCGCTGACATAAGTGGATGACGTTATTGTTTGTCTGTGATATCTTGCAGCTCATGGACTGGCGGAACCGTTCAAAAGGAAGAATAGAGAGGCTTAATGGCAACCATCTGAAGAAGTCAAGTTAGGTAAAGTTGGCAGGTCGAAATCCAATGTTCACATAGGGCCTTGTGACTCCAAAAGCTAAGCCTTATTATCACCAATTTCATATCGAGTAGCAATGGTGAACAATACAGTGATTCGGAAAATGATGAATTCGTTTATCATCTTTTGGGAATATATTCCAATTCAAACAATGTTTTGAAAAATAACGGGGAAAGTTCGAGTTCCGAACCACACTCCCATTGGATGGCCAGTCTTCCTATGACAGGAGAGACAGAGTCAGCTCGACAAATGTGTATCGGTGTGGTGGCGATCTCTCGGTGAGCGACCCCTTAAAGCCCCTTGCGTTCTCAACTGCCACATCTCTCGACTTTACAATCCAGAAGAGCTACATGCACTCGTGTCCGTGCTAGAAGTCAACACCAGCGCATTCTTCACCGAGCCACAATCCACACCATAGCTGGCGGCTAAGCTCCATACTAAATCTTAATTCCGTGAAACACATCCCCGCGCGCGGGGAAGCTGGGGAAATAGTAGAACGGGAATCATTGGGACTGACTCGCGACCCCCTACGCCCTGTACAGGCTCCAGTTCAAGGTAGCGCCACGGCTACCCTACAGCTGCTGGCGTCCACGTGCCCTGGCCTGTCCGCTAGAATGATTCCTCTCATGCGGTCTCTGTGTTCATCGTACCCCCTCATCGTTCGTCTTGAGTAGTCTACCACGACGAATTCAATCACGACCAAAGCTCATGATTTGAGGCACGAGACCAAGGTGCCCCTAGTCGCTCCAACCACGAGCATCCGTCGAAGAATGCTCCCCCATGCCGGCCGCCGTACGGGAGGTCACCTCAGAGCCGGAGCGGAGAACGCCTACACTCGGTACAAGCGACGGGGAGCCTGCCAAGATGGCCGGCAAGAAGCGTGTGCGTAACTTCACAGCCGATGACCGCGCGACTCATCGCATATTTGAAAAAAACCGGCGCGAAGCGTTCAAGGGCCGTCTGACTGTGGGTCTTACTGAGTCCTTGCAATCATCTTTGATCTACTGTGCTCGTAAGGTATCTAGGGCGTGGCTGACGATGAGCCAGGAACTTGCAACTCATCTTCCAGCCCTTGGCGGCACTGACCCTCAACGCCTTTCCAAGCACGTCGTGGTCGAAGAGAGCATTGCTCGTCACAAGCTCATGAAAAGTCTCTGCTCTGATGCGTTCCAAGACATCCGTGCTCTGGTCCAGGAGCGTGATGAGCTTCTTGCTCAGGTCAACCACCGGAGGCTTATTGACGGTTTGGCGCCACAGGCTCCGAAGGCCGTCAATCTACACCTAGACCGCCTTGTGGAGCAAGAAAAAGAGTCTGGGAGACGCGATGACATAGAGAGAACCGCGAATGCCGAAAGCAGCAGCTCCGTGTCACCAACGGCCGTTTCAGGTCCTATGCCTACTTTAATATCCCTGGGAATTCCGGCGCCCGCAGCGGAAACCACTCCCCTCGACCGTTTCTGGGATGTGACGCACCAGGAGCCGATTTCCCACACGATCACATTGCCCTTCCAAGATTTACCATCATTCGCGACACAGGATCCCTCGCAAACCTGCGCCGAAATTTCTTCCTCTGCTCTAGCCATCCAAGACGTCCCTTTCCTGGACTTTGACTTAACAGAGGAAACCTCACTTAATCAAGGGCTCACATTCCACAATGATATCGGCTCACAACCCGCGATACCCGTTGATTCGGTCGCCATGTCCTTATCGATGCCATACGCGGGAGACTTGGATCTCTCGAACACTGACCAAAGAGCTCACGAACATCATGACCAATGGACACTTTCAGGAACACTTTGTACAAGGTGCGCATATACGGGCCAAACTATCTAGTCTCTCAGCGCTTTATCTGATCGAGACTATCCATCATGAGTCGCCTACTTTCCTGCCCCTTTAGCACACACAGTCACTTGTATCGATTCTTCCACGGCGCCGAATGCAAAAGAGTGTAGCTAGAATTCCTCATCATAAATAGCTTCGGAGACAGCGCAAGCATTCAGACCAACGGAAGCACCTCCTCAATCTTAGCACGGCTCCTCTCCTGCCCGCCTGTGAACAGGGCCATCGCATCGGCTAGTCTCTTCTTCGTCACGGCGTCCGCCTCGATAGCGTTCTGCAGGGGCGCGCCACCGTCAGCGAGATAATCCACATCTGTGCTCGCCAACTTCCCATTCCAGTCAGGACCAGCTAGAGGGTCGATGCTGAGAAGCTTGCGGAGGCGGTCCGATACGGGCGGGGCGTCTTTGTAGACGTGCGCCGGCTTGGGGACATCGGGGCCCGGCTGCTCAGAGGCGACGTAAGGGAGCTTCGCAAGCTCGTTCAGGACCGTGTGCGATATAGTCGCCGAGTGGCAGCCCATTTCACCGGCAGCCATGGCCTCCTGAACAGTGATGAAACTAGGTGGGAGTTAGCGTGCAAAATTGGACACCGCAGTCAATGATTCTCTTGCCTAGCATTCTTGACAAGTGGTTGTTCCTTGCCCGTCTCTTTGTATAGACGCTTATATGTCTCGATGATCTGTACAATGCGGGCGGACATCGGGTGCTCTACTGCTGGATCCTTCACGTTGGGCCACAATTCTGGCTCATCGTGAGCAAGAACCTCTGCAAGAAACATGGTTAGCCGAATGACCCAGATCAGGTGTCTTGGTGTCCCAGATCCTTGAACTTGCCATTATAGTAGGGGCTGATGTAAAGCATGCCAGCCTGACTGCACGCAATAGCTTGCGGAAGACTGAACAGGGCCGTGCCGAGTGTAGGGATACCCTCCGATGAAAGGACCTTGGCTGCGTTCAAAGCAGGGCCCGTCGAGGGAATCTTGATGCAATATCTGTCGCGGCCGATCCCTGCACGGGCGAACTCTTTGTCATAAAGGCGCGCATGGTCGAGGGTTTCCTGGAAGCGGAAAGCATTCGACGGAAGTGTCTGGAGTAGAACGCGGCCCCTGATAGAGTCGATGTTCTTCTTGCACATCAGAACAGCCTGCACATAGCACGGTCAACAAGAAGCCCTTGAGTCATATTGCATAGGCATGGGCCGCTAACCATGCGAGTGTAGATGGCAAGCCAGCCTTCGTTCTTGAGTTCCTTGGCCGTCTCGAGCAAAAGGTCCCGGTTCGAATCATCGCCGAGTTGAATGTCAACCCAAAGTTGATTGCTAGTCTGGTCGTGAGGCACGATCGGCATGCCTTTGATGTGTTCGGGGTCCATCCAGTCCACGTCCACATTTACTGTTTGCATCAGCGATGTTCAAGGCCGGCCGAGTATGCGCCACGTACACTGCTCCTCGAGCTTGTCGAGCCATGTTGGTGTGCCGGCACTGCCCATGTTTGGCGAAAGTCGAGATGGATATGTTGATGTAATCTTGATGAAAGCGTTATCGTCAGGTGTTGTATCTCGTCGCTCAGAGGAGGTAGCTTGGGCACAATCAATCCCAACAGTCAAGAAGAAAGTACAGTACGCTTTTAAAGCCTAGCCAAGTTCCTATGATATCCCCTGCTCAATCTCCGACTCCTTCGCTTCGGCAACCTCTACAATCTTGCCGACGTGCCCTGCGTGTGTTGAATCCATCAAAACCATATGATGTTGATGGACCTGTGCAGGCACCTGGATACGGCCAGCAGATAGCGGGTATTCTCCAGAGCTCGCAAAATGGCACACACAGGGCACAGTCAAACCGACAAAGATCGGCGCGGCAACATCTGCTGAGCTCCTGAATTCTTGCCAGGAGTAGGGGGCCGGGACTTGGGGCACTGGAGCTACGTTCGAGTCAGACACTCAACTCCAATGCAGGCTACTGCTGGAACATTGCGCGGAGAGTCGGGGAGCTAAGAACCCCCCCTCTTTCTTCTTACTCAAGCTTTCACCCACACTCCGGCACTTGACCATTTCTTGACTAGGTCACCCAGGGCCCTGCACAGGTCGTGAGCGGATTCGGCGACATGGCACACGCAGGGCACTGCCGTTGGAGGCGCCATGCGAGTGTTCCTGCACAGGACTCCTCCTCGGCGGACAGCCGCCTCGCTCCGAAGCTTTCGCGAGCTGCAACGTCGTGGAGACGGTGACAGCCCCTCGGTATCGAAGCTACCCCATGGGGAAGAGCTGCAACAAGGTCCATAAATATAAGAGCCGCAGAACCTCTTAGGTCCGGAGTTCGATATTGAAAGTCCATATCTGATAACTACAGACACGGATCACTGCTAAGTCATATCGCCTTCGACCGTCGTTCGACTCCTCCGCCATGGCTCGCATGTCTGATGACGAGGGCGACATCAAGCCCAAGCTCGATGCCTCCCACGTGGAGTTTACGGAGCAGGACTATGCTCGCAACATAAATGCCAGGTGAGCGGAGTAATGGCCTGTGCTTGACGTTGCTTGCTAAGATGTGTCAAGAATTCGTAACCCTTTGATCGGCATCGCGAAGCAAGACCTGAAAGTTCAGACTGACGACTTTTGTCAAACCTTTGGATTCAACGGCAAAGAGGACGTTTTCTATCGTGGTGCCCTCGCAGCCCAGAACCCAGAAACATGGGAGCAGTTTGAGGAGATGACCGACGACGACCGTCACTTTCTCCGTCGTGAGATTACCCACAAGTGGCATTTGCCCCGTCAACTCTACTACGCCATCGCGATCTGCTCTCTCGGCTCAGCCGTCCAAGGCTGGGACAACACGGGTGCGAATGGCGCAAACCTGTCTTTCCCCGTTGAGTTTGGAATCGAGCACAGGGAGATGCTTGTAGGTGCCATTAATGCGGCTCCTGCTCTCGCTGGTCTGTTCTCCGCCTGGGCTGCCGATCCCGTCAACAACCTGCTCGGACGTCGCGGAACCATCTTTGCCACCGGCCTGTTTGCCATTTTCCCGGTCCTGGCTCAAGGGTTCGCACAGAACTGGTGGGGTTTGCTGATCTGTCGACTCTTCATGGGAATCGGCATGGGCATCAAGATTTCGACGATCCCGATCTACTCGGCTGAGGTTGCGCCGGCCATTATTCGAGGCGGCATCGTCACGAGTTTTCAACTCTGCGTTGCATTTGGCATTTTCGTTGGCTTCTGTTCTAACTTGATCTGGTTCCGTATTGGTGATCTCGCCTGGCGGTTTCAGCTCGCTGCTGCGTTTGCCCCTGCCATTCCTGTCGTCATCTTTGTTTGGTGGTGTCCGGGTGAGTGCTTCAATGGACAAGAGGAAGAGTCGCCAAGCTGACACCGTTCCGTCCAGAGTCCCCCCGCTGGCTCATGAAGAAGGATCGAATGCAGGATGCCTTCAAATCGTTCTGTCGCATTCGCAACACTGAGATGATGGCTGCTCGTGACTTGTACTATGCGCATTGTCAAGTGCGCGAGGAGAGGAACGCCTTCGGCGGTAAGACGCTGCGCACAAGAGTTATGGAGCTGCTCACAGTTCCCCGCCTGCGCCGAGCGACTGTTGCGAGCGCTTGGATCGTTATCGGCCAGCAATTTTCCGGTATGACTATACCCTCTCATTGAGTCCAGTGGATCGCAGACAGCAGCTGACCAGTTTGAACCAGGCATCAACATCATGGCTTTCTACTCTGCCACAATATTTGCCGAGGCTGGCTACTCCCCAAAGCAGTGCCTGCTTGTCTCGATGGGTTTTGGGCTCATTACGTTCGTCTTTGCGTTCCCGGCCGTGTACATGATGGACACCTTTGGCCGCCGGAACCTGCTGATGATAACGTTTCCCAACATGGCCTGGTGTCTTGTTGCCGCCGGAATGTGCTTCCTCATTGACGAGAGCGTGTCTGCTCGAGTGCCCCTCATCGCATTTTTCGTGTTCCTCTTCTCCGCCATGTACGGCCCGGGTGAGTCAAGTTCGAGCTGAGCTCTGAGCCCAAGATGGACATGGAAGCATGCTGACGATTTCTCAGGAATTGGGCCACTCCCTTCGATCTACTTCTCCGAATCTTTTCCCCTGTCGCATCGCGAGATTGGCGGCGCCGTGACCATCATGGTCAACAACGCGTTCAGCAGCGCTCTGACGCTTAGCTTCCCGTCTCTGCTCAAGAATTTCGGTCCGACGGGAGCTTTCTGCTTCTATGCAGGCCTGAACATTCTGGCGTTCCTCGTCATCTTCCTGATTATCCCCGAGACCAAGTAAGTCCCGACAGAAGAGATGCTCGAATCCATGGCGGTTCCTAACATCTGCCCCCAACAGACAGAGAACGCTTGAGGAGCTTGACTACATTTTCAGTGTTCCCACTCGACGCCATGCGGGGTACCAAGTGCGGACCTGGCTGCCTTGGTGGGTAAGACGTTACATTTTCTTCCGCAGGGATGCCAAGCTCGAGCCCCTGTATCACCTCGATGCGCGTCAGGAGTGAAAGGTGTCCGACATTGGAGCAATTTGACGAAACAATGGTGTGTTTGGCGGTTTCGTTCCTTCAAAGTAGAGGCCTGGGCTTGGTCAGATATCGATAAGTGACATGCCAAAAAGGCGTACTCATGGGTATCTGCCGTAACTGAGGTCTTCTAGTGATCACAGAGTCTAATTCCAATAGTGAGCATTGTCAGATGATCTCACTTGATGCGAAGCGTCAAAGAAGCCTCTCCAGGCGAAATCTTCGCAGCCATAGCGTGTACAAACAGACCGTTGGTCGCAAAAAGACGGAGGCGGTCTCTCGGTAGTAAAGTCAAGAACTCCTGACAGGAAGAGTCGACGAGCCTTGAAACGGATCAATGAAAACCCGTCCCCGAATCGGCGTCACAATATCCCGACCGAATCGCTCCAAGCAAGACCCAACAAGTGGGGCGGGCAGGCGCCCCGTCGCATCGCGACTACAAAACTCTGCGCGACCGCGCCTGCTTTTACCCTTTTTCTTCTTTTTCTTCTTTTCGTGCGGCTGGCATAACCTGAAATTGTTTCCCCATTGCTCGAATCCTAAACAGTGGATATATCGGAGCGTCAGTTATGCCCCAGAACGATCAAAATTGCAGGCTGGCTTTTCCTCTTTTCACGCGGTCCTGGTCTCAGACGCTCCTCCTTTTGGTGGGGGCGGGATCGCGGCGAGGAGGTCGGACATACTTTACTTTCGATGAATCGTGATCATGTACAGGCTGTTGATAAATCCTGATGTTGGTGGACGAGAACGTTGAACTCGCACCTGCTAATCAAGACGGCCTGCTGGGCTATGCGTCTTGCGACTGTCAGACTCGAGCGTGAAAGGAAAATCCCGAACGCTTCCAGGATCGACGTTTGCAATGCACCTCAATGCGACACTCATGATGATTTCTCTACGCCGTGGGGTCGCTACCTATGCTGGCTCCCGTCCTTATGTCTAAAAGCAAAACCCGCCCGTCCGTCATCCGTCCGGATGTTTCTCCTGCGCCCACGCGCCCGGTATCACGAAGCCCAACCGTAAGGCGATTTGCGACTATTCGCCAGGCTCGTCGCCAATCTTCTCGAGCTTGCCCATCTCACGCTTCTCGCCGCTGTCGCCGACGAGGCGCACGCGATCCAGCCGCACCTTGTCGCCGTCACCGTCGCCGTTGACCACATACAGTACGAGGCTCGTAATGTTCTGGAACTTGACGTAACGCAGGCTGACGTTGGCCGTGCCCGACGCGTTCCAGTCCTTCTCGGACAGCTCTATCACTTGCGTCGGTGGCGTGTCGTCGGCTTCGGCAAAATCGAGGTTATGTGGCTTGTTCGTGTAGAGGTGGATGGTGCGCGGGCGCATCGGGGCATCCTCGTCATCGTCATCGGAGGGAGGGAGCGAGGTGATCTGTTGATGTGTCAGAAATCTTTTGTTTGCCCATTGCGTGAATCTGGCTGGGGAACACTCACGTGCAAGGTGTGCAGCTTCAGCATGGCCTGGAAAGGCATGAACAAGAGCAGCTGGTCGTCCTCGCCACTCTCGACCCAGTCCTTGACGCCCTCCTTCTTGTCCAGCGCGCTGGGCTTGCTGCCGTCGAAGAGAACACGCACGGAGCCTGCATCGTCGTCGGCATTGAGGAGCTCGCAGCCCTTGGACTCGATCTGGTCGGTGATGTCCTGGTAACCGCGAGGTAGCTCGGCGCCCTTCCACACACCGCCGCTGCCGCTGCCGCTGCCGCTGCCGCTGGCACCGCCCGATGCGCCGCCGCCGGCGAGGACCTCAGCGGCCAGTCTCTGGACAACGGATTGGAGCTTGCGGGGGTCGGCGCCCTGGATCTTCTCGAGGACCTTGCCGTTCTTGAAGACCATGAAGGTCGGCAGGGCGGTCACCTGGTGGGCGGCGGCGACATCGCTGTTGGCCTCGGTGTCTACCTTGAGGAACTTGACGCTTTCAATCTCGGCGGCCGTCTCGGAGAGCTGCTGGAACAGGGGCGCGATCTGCTTGCAGGGGCCGCACCAGTCGGCGTAGACTTTGGGCGTCGTAGATCAGCATCGTGTACAGGTCAAACAAGTGGCTTGGTAATCGCGGGGTTGCATCGATCGGTTGAATGCAGTGGCACTTACAGTCTACGACGACATAGGGGGTCTCCTTGACCAGCTTGTCGAACTGCGCCTTCGAGCTGACCGAAGTAATAGATTTCGACATCGTAGGCAGATGCTGGAGGTGATGTGATGTTGGTGGGAGGGAGATGGGAAGGAGGAAAGAGACCGACAAGGCAATGCGGGAGGTGCCGCAGCCGTTGTACCTAAGGTAGGTACCTACCTCAGGTACCTTAGGTAGGTAGGTACGCTGAGTGGGTGGCATCCGCCAGGACCCATTACCGTTGCCTGTGAACGCGAGAGTCGCAGCACACAGCTACCCCGCTCTAACCCGACTGAGAAACCACGGATTGATTACGTGAGCGGATCGTTGCAATGGAGATCAACATCCATTCCTCTTGTCCTTCCATCAACGAGCATTCACTACCTAGACATCACCGGCTTAATCACCTTGACAACACACAACACAAACTAATTCAAAAACAGACATGCAAATAGCTCGTGTTGAGTTCTTCTCTGGAGGCAAGACGAAGCTTTGTATTGATAACTGTCGCAGGCGAGAAATCATCTACACTGACAGCTACGTCTGTCCAGGCTGGAGTGCATCGCTGAAACGGGGGCATGTCATCCATCTCGTATGGCACATTGTTTTCCTTGTCGTGATGCTTTGGCTAGAGCGTTTCGCTTGTGCACCGACCACCGAGTCGCCCGGAGCGCTTACTCGACCCCATCGCGGCGGGGCTTTTCCCCTTTACACGCTGAGACCATCGTAGCTGCCGATAGCGACAGTGATGGTACCCTTGAGGCTCTCGGCCTGGCTCTGCAGGTCCTCGGCACGGCTCTCAACAGCATCGATGAGCATGAAAGCGGCAGTCTGTGATGTGTCAGTCCAAGTGCGCATCAACTCTTCGGGGAAGCACCACGTACGTCAACAACTTTCTCAATGGAACGCAGCACTGCGGCAACGGGCTGTCCAATGATGGGTACGGTGTTGAAGAGACCGGCCTTGCCGATGAGGATGTTCAAGAGAACCTGGTGGACCCTGACGAACTCGCGGAAGGCGTCGAAAATGGCATCCGACGGGGGGCCAGCGGGGACACCGGCCATGCCCTGCATTTGCGAAATGGCGACCGTGGCGGTGCTTACAATGTCGGTGAACCCAGTGATCAAAGTCTGCAAGATCATGTCAGTACGGCACGAGGCGGATGAAGCAAGAACGCGTTTCCTTACGGGGAAAGGACCGAGGCCCACGACGATCAGAGGGCCATTGATGATGCTGATACTCTGCGCAGGAGCCTGTAGGGCCTGCGACTTTGTCGTGAGGGCCTCGATATTGTCAACGACCTGGGCAGGCGTAATCTGGCCAAGGGCAGTCTGGCTGCAAACAGCCAGGGCGGCGACGACAGACTTGAGGAGGGAGAAGCGCATCTTGACGGTTGATCCAACGGCTTAGCGGTGAATGAGCTGATAACGAAGAGGTGATGAGGAGAGGATGAGTAGAGGAGAAGCTGATGTTGGAGAGGATGAGTGTGGTGAAAAGATGTCATGGAAGGACCAGCTACGTCGTCGTGCTTTATACCCAAGCTCGGAGGGCGCGAGCTGTCGTATGTCCTTCATCATCCTCGTGATGATCGTGAGGTTGCTTGCCGCTGCTGTCGCTAGTTGGTCTCACCGACGCAGTGCCATCGTCCTGCATCACTTTCCCAATTCGGCCATGTTGAAGCCTTTGCATGTTCGTTTAAACTCGCAAGAGGTTAAACCACTCCGAAATCTTGCTTTTGCTAGTTCAGAGACGATGTTAAGATGACATTTCCCAGTTGCAACATCAGCCACACCTGAAAGATAGCCTATGGACCGGATCTGAACCGAGACATTGCCGCAGATCAAGATGTCGGCATTGGCCACGGCCCTTCCCGCTCCCGCTCGAAGAAGCAAAGTGAGCAGCTAGCCTGTCAAACGGCGCATGGTCCCTAGACAGACGGCCACGCGCGATTGGATCGTGGACCTGTCATTCCTGTCTTATTGTAGCCAGCCACGACTCGTTCTGGCAAGCTGAGGCTGCGCCCATGACTCTCCGGCGCTTATGAGGCCCTCTCGGAAACGCTTGCCTGTCCCTGACAGGAAGGAGTCCTCATACTCTTGATCTGGTATGTGTTTGTCGCATTCGTGCCATGCCCCAGGCGCTAGGGACCGTTTTCTTAGTGCAGCGTTCTCAACGCACTACTGTGGTAACGGACGTTTGACAAGCATGGAGTGTAACAGAGTGCCCTGGGCGCAATAGTGCACACTGGCCGTCAACGGGATAGCCAACCGTCATGCAGCATTAGATGATGTAGGCAGTACAAGGGGTAAAGAATTTCTGTGCTGGCATTGCTGCAAGGGAGGTATGCACAGGATGTGCTTGCCAGCAATATTCCTGATGATCATTGCCACATGTTGAGCACCCTAACCCGTAATGAGACCGTGCGCCTGATGATCAAGGCGCTGTAAAGACAATACTGTGATGCTGTTGGCTATTAACATGTTGCTGAAGCTTTGCTTAGCTTCCAGCTCTCGATGCCCATCAATACTCGGCATTTGCGGTGTGCAACAGACGCAGGTTGTTCCGGGCGCAGCTGAACCGACCAAGGATGACCAAGAGGTATTTTCTCTACTGAGGACGGCATCACGATGCTTGTCGGAGAAATGATCGAAGCCGTGGCTGTCAAGCTAGGCATCGACGAGCCTCTTGTCCGTGGAGCAGCTGAGGCCAGGCAAGCATTGAGACAGGACGCCAAAGATATTGGCATCCGTGAGTAGCCGTCAGGGCGTTTCTTGGGAATGCACAGGTGAGTAGGCAGGCAGGCAGAAGAAAAAACAAAGCACTGGACCACTAACAGTAGTGCTCATTTGTCTATCCCCGGCGTCATCAAATGAGGGTGGAGCAAGACACCAGCCTCCTGGTCTATACCCCCAGCGAGCACATCTTTGGACTTTTGACCAATGCATGAATTGCACAATGTGCCACTGCCGTTTCATGGCTTGACTCTGCGTGCAATGCGCCCGTGGAATTCCATGGAGTAATTGAAAGCTTAGACATGTAGGAATATTTCTTCCGACAGACTGGCTGGCGATGAGTTAGTTGGCTCGCCCTGCGCAATCAAGGCGCCGTATGGTCTTAGTCTCATCGCGCTCATTTCCTGATTGACTGGCCGGCTGTACGAGCATGCCTCGCTTACGATCACTCTGGAGATGGCGAGTCTACTTGCTCGAATCTTCCACACCTCTCGTAACCTCAGCTTGTACCCGCGAATCAAATATCCATCCGTTTTCTTGAGCCAGAGAGTCTTTCATTAACTAGGATATTTCATAAAATCATCACTGGTCTTCTCCTCGTCCAGTGCATACCTACAGCTGTCCTCAGCTTCGTCGACAGCCATGGTAATCTGGTCCTACAAAATAGTTTCCTCGGTCCCCAAAGCCTCGAACATGCCGAAGTTGCCACGGGATTTTGTGTACGATTGCACTGAACGGGACGCATGTTGATGCCACCTCGCCCGTAGGTTAGATGCTTCTGCCACAAGAACCAGAACGCGATCGGAAGTGATATCACCAACCTGGAAATTCATGGTCATATTCCTCGAAAAGTCTCAAGCGTTGTGAGATACTCGGGGGCCTTCTGATTTCATTCATATTCATCTCGATCGTCAAAACAATGCACTGTCATCCTCGCCGAAGCTGCCAAGCGCAGAAGGGCCAGTATACAGAAATTTAAATAACTGAACGGCAGGTGATGTATTTTGACGTATTCTGACGTGTGCTCAGATGATGCCCCCTGTTGAAGCTTTTAACTGCTTTCAATTTGCGATCGAGGAAGTAGACGACTTTTGTGATTGCATCTTGCTTTTTTTTGTTGGTTACTAAGGCTCCGCGTGCAACCGTTTCGTTGAATCTGGCCCAATTATCCTGGAAACTTGCCTGACCTTCGGCGATAGCCGGGGTTATCAGGCTTGGAGAAACTATCGAAGGTCCAGTATCAAAGGACGGAGATCTCAAGGTGCGCGCAGCTGCACCTCTGCATTCTGCATCGGTGCTCGGATAGTTATTGCTTATCGCCGGATTGGCTTGTCCTGATGACGACAACACTTTGTGCGGGTTTCCACATGCACCACATCATTATCAAGTCATTTTGATACCGTGATTTCCTTTCCTTGAACAGAACGAATTAGTACGACCTGCACAACTTCTGCCTCAGACAACAGCTCGTAGTTTCCATTTCACATTGAAGCAAGCACAGTATCACAAACAATGGGGTTCCTGCAAAGCCAGTTGCTTACCACGCTTCCCTATCCCACAGAATCCTATGAGGGGAAGACGATCGTCGTCACTGGCAGCAACGTGGGCTTAGGGAAAGAAGCTGCACGGCACTTTGCTCGTCTCGGCGCCAGCAGACTCATCCTCGCAGTTCGCAGCCAGGAAAAAGGAATTGCCGCCAAAGAGGACATTGAGAGCTCCGCACAATGCGACACGAAAGCCATTCAGGTCTGGAATCTCGACATGTGCAGCTATGCAAGTGTGAAAGCCTTTGCTGCCCGCGTCGAGGCTGAACTCGACCGAGTAGACATGTTTTGCGCCAATGCGGGAATCGCCACGTCCGAATACGAACCTGCTGAGGGCAACGAGAAGACGATCACCATCAACGTTATTTCGACATTTCTTCTCGCTGCGCTCGTCATGCCGAAGCTCAAGGCTACAGCACAAGCATTCAGCACCCGACCCACGTTGACCATCACGGCATCAGAGGTGCACGCATGGACTGATCTGCCCCAGAGGTCAGCAGAAGACGGCCAGATCTACAACACACTGAATGGACATGCCCGGGCAGCGAAGGCTATCGATGAATATTACCCCATCTCAAAACTTCTCGAGGTTTTCGGCGTGCGCAGCATCGCTGAACAGAGCCCTGCCGCTACGTTCCCGGTGACAGTCAACTGCGTGAACCCTGGCCTCTGTCACTCGGAACTCTCCCGCAATACGGCATCCTGGGCAGCTGTGCGATTCGCGCTTTTTAAATGGCTTCTTGCTCGGACCACAGAAGCTGGGAGTAGAACGATTGTTCACGCTGCT